GAAGCCACCCCACTCACATTATCTTAGAGTGGCCAACTAAATGGACTAGGTTAGATAAAAGTAAATTAAGTCTATTTCAATGAGACTATATGTAAGCTTTGCTCGAATTTGACCTGGAGAGCCTGCTGGAAGCCAAAAGCTAGCGGAAGCCTATAGGGGCTGATCCGAACTCTCGGTGGCTCGATGTAGTATACTACGTAGTACGTGGGCGCCCGCCAGGAGACATCCAGATCTCTCGTCAACACAGCGGAATTTTCGTCGTTATCATTCCAAATTTAAAATAACATCTCGCGATAGATATGTCAAGCACTATAGTTAAAATTAAAGTTAGTTGGTCGGAATGTTAGACACTGCAACACAAATGTCAGCGTCGACGCAAAGCCACAGCATTAGCAAGTTGTGTACTACTGGTACACTGCAGGTGTCATAAGACTCACTTGTTCCAGTTGTAAGCACTATCCACGCTGAGAAGGATGACCGATGTCTCGAGCGCACATCTCATTTTATCTTCCTTCTAGATCACACGTGCTCGGAAGCAGGTTGGATAATAGTCGGCGTGACGCGATATTGTAACGTTGACCCAAAGACATGCACTGTTGTTGAGCGGAGATGTTTTGGTGTTCAGGTACTAGTCAGGGGTATGGAAATGGAAGAGCCAGTAGCATGCGTAGTTTCAGCCACCACTACAGGGAGGCAATCTGACTCGCTTACACTTTACCACGGGAAGCATGTCGAGTGCCGAAGTGTGGACCACGGGTTCGGTCTTTTATGGCTTCTACATGTACATTGTGTGCAGCCGGTGTCGACCCTCCAACCCATCATGTTAAGCTAGGCGAACGTCGTGGCTCGATGGCACAACTACATATAGGCCATGTGCCGTCCGGAAATGTCGCGAGCTCTACAAACGTTGTGTTAAGGTACGCAAACGCTGTGGCAAGCTAAAGATGTCTATACTTGCCGCTGTGGTTTTTGGAGCTACGGTGTCTCTCGCCGTCCCGCATAAGCCGTTATCATCCGCTAACAGGAGGTATCCGGTCAGCAATCAGTCCGACCCTTTCGGCCCCCTCACTTTTCGAGCAGACGGAACTTTTCAGGTTTCTATTTTTGAAGACTTGCATTTCGGCGAAAGTATGTGCACCCCACAATGTCCCTTCACTTACACCACCCGCTCACTAATGCGACTAGATGCCTGGGATCAATGGGGTCCGCAGCAGGATATCAACTCGGTCAAAGTGATCAATGAGATCCTCGATAAGGAGTCTCCCGGATTAGTCGTTTTGAACGGCGATCTTATTACAGGTGAAAATGGGTTCTTAGAGAATAGCACTGTATACGTCGATCAAATCGTCGGCCCTCTAGTTGCTCGGAACTTATCCTGGGCATCCACGTACGGGAATCATGATTACGACTTCAATATATCTGGCACTGCTATCCTCGAACGTGAAAGAAGGTGGAGAAATAGCCGAACATCTCCCATGATATTTGGACCGGACGTTGGCGTGTCGAATTACTATCTCCCAGTCTACGACCATGGCTGTGTAAACGAATTCGCCTGCAGCCCGGAATTGATCCTTTGGTTCTTCGATAGCAGAGGAGGGTTTAAGTACCAGCAAAAGGACGCCGAGGGAAACAGGGTCGGACAACCAGACTGGGTCGACGCCAAAGTAGTAGACTGGTTCAACCAGGCTAGCAGAAGTCTCACGAGGAGATACCGTAAGGTAATTCCCTCGCTGGCCTTCGTCCACATCCCCGCATTCGCCTCTTACGCTCTACAAGAAGCCGGTGTAGATCCGAACAAGCAGCCCGGGATCAACGACGACCTACCACTTGCACCACAAGCTCAAGGGTGGTGCCGGAACGGTACCAACGACGGGACATGCAGCTATGGCGCCCAGGATACCGCATTTATGCAAGCCATATCACATACAAAAGGCTTAATAGCGGCGTTTTCTGGACATGATCACGGGGATACGTGGTGTTATAAGTGGGATAGATTGCTTCCTGATATGGATGTGACACCAGCAAACAACATAAGCCTCTGTTTCGGACAGCACACTGGTTATGGTGGATACGGTAACTGGGAAAGAGGATCTCGCCAGGTGATGGTCTCGAAAGAAGGTCTAGCAAAGTTCGAAGCGGATACTTGGATTCGCTTAGAATCGGGAACTACAGTGGGCAGCGTCTCACTGAATAGTACATATGGGCAAGACATTTATCCTAAGACGGACGACTCGATGACCTACTGCCCAACTTGTATCTATTGATGGATCATACTTGAGGAGTGGTGGTGTTAGGATGCAGATTGATATGACGATGTTGGATAGCATATGAAGAGGACCCCCTCCATGAAGTATAATAATCATCAAGAGTATAAATCCCGATACACTAGTACCTAAGTTGGATATAGTCTCAGTATACTTAAAAACCCACTAATCTTATTACTCTTCCACCAACCCGGAGATACTAGCGAAGTAGATCTCTTGGCCTCCAATCGGCACAGCGGCGCAAGAAATCTTGGCAAGATTCCCAATTAGCCAATAATATCTATTCGAATCTAGGTGTCCTAATCATGATCCCTAAGCAATATCTCGCTTCAGCTTATGCGGATTTCATGGTAGACGGGAAAATGTCGGGCACCCTACCACTGCTACCTAGGAAGTGCTATTCGTGTCACCGTGACCGTACTGCGCTGAATTGAGACCTATTGAGACTGTCTCGCGTACCAGAAGTGAAGCTATTCAGCCCTCGCTAATCTGAGACATATGGGCGGACCACGGAGGTTAGGGAGCCCCGAACCAATTGTATATAGGCTCAAGGACAGCCACCATGCTCACAGATTATTGTATGCAGAATAGAGAGTCAACAACTCAGTTCCAAGCCCTGACACCAGCCCTTGTTATGGTGGGTTTTGCTTAGGTTAGCTAGCCTCCAGCTTCTCAAGCTCTATGTAGTAAAGCAATAAAAGCTTAGATGGTACCATCCACGTCATTTACATGAATTGATAATGCATCCTGACCTTTAACCCCGCATTCTATTCGCGCACATAGTATAGTTCACACACACCGTAGCTATTTAAACCCAGTTGTGCACATTCTTAAGTCCCATGATAAATACTAGGGTGCCATGCAAGTTCGGTGTAGGAAATCAATGGTAAAAGCGTTGCCAAGACATCTCAATCAATAGAAGATCAAGGCAAGTGGGGGTTGACAATCGCCTAAACCTTACGAGGATATATATAGCACTACATTGCGGTTATGACCTGATCTGTGTCCTCGTTACAACGCCGATTGCGAATTACCACGAGATACGAACCCCAGGCAACTTCCTTGAGGATGTATATAATGGATTGTATGCTCTTCTTTAAGGTTCTCACGTTGCCAAGTTTCAATATCTAGATCTACCAACGCATAACTTCTCATAAGTATAACATACCCGAGCCGTGGACATATACCCCTGCGCTTAACATGACCACTCTTAGCAATGCATTTAGCATCACATCCCAATTCCTACACCCATCAAAACCCCGCCTAACCGAAAAAGATGTTCCCAATCTACAGGGCAAAGTAACTATTCCTTAACTCTGGGTCACACACGGCTCACATTTTCTCCGAGACTCAGTGCTGTGCCGGTTTCGGACGCAAATGGGAATGCTAATGATCTTCTCAGGTCACAATCGTCACTGGGTCAAATACCGGTCTCGGCAAAGAGATCGCCCAGATTCTCTATTCCAAGAATGCCAAAGTGTATATGCTGGCACGCTCAGAGGAGAAGACCAAGAAGGCCATAGATAGCATCAAAGCCGCTGTACCCAACTCAAGCGGCGAGCTGATATATTTGCATCTTGACCTCGCCGACCTCCCTAGTATAAAATCGACCACTGAACAGTTTAACCGTCGAGAGTCCCAGCTACATCTCCTCTTCAACAATGCCGGCGTCGCATTCCCTCGGCGCGGCGCGAAGACGAAACAGGGATATGTGCTCGAAATCGGGGTGAATTGCCTTGGAACCTTTGCCCTCACCAAGCTCCTCACACCAACGATCATTTCGACCGCCAAGACCTCGCCCCCAAACAGCGTCCGTGTCATCTATGTTTCATCGAATGCATCCGAGGGGTTCAGCCCAAAGAACTTCGTGCGAAACGTCGACCACGCAGAAAACCTAACGGCAGTGGGGAGATACTTCTCGTCGAAGCTCGGCAATTATCTGCACGCGGCTGAATTTGCGAGCCGGTACAAGGCCGATGGCGTAATATCTGTGTCGTTGAACCCCGGCGCGCTCGACTCGGAATTGTGGCGCGAGCAGTTCTCTCTCGTCAAGTTGTTTCTGCGAGCGACTTTCCTGCACCCTCCTCTATACGGCGCATACACCTGCCTATTCGCAGCGTTCTCGCCCGAGGTCACGCTCGAAAAGTCTGGAACACATGGTCAGTACTATCCTCAATGGTATGGGGGGACCGGATACTAACGGTAGAGGTAGTTGCCCCTTGGGGTCAGTTATGGGACGTAGCGCCAGATATGGTGAAGGCTGGGAAGAGTCCGGAAGAAGGCGGTGATGGTACAGCGAGAGAATTCTGGGAATGGAGTGAAGTCCAAGTCAACAAGTACCTTTGAACCGTACCTACAAGCTTATATGTAGGTAGGTAGGGCGGGTGTCCTTTCAATATTCGCTACTCCTAGTCATCTGATACTTGGAATTCTCTTGTGTCCTTATAAATGTATATATGATTGGGGAAAAGGAAATGACATATGAGACTTTGACGCCACATTTAGCATATGAATCAAGTTGCTTATGACAGGTACTCATCATCTGGTATTAGTGGCTAACTCCCTTTTTCGTAGCACATACCTAGGTAACCTTTAAGAACAGTTGATGCCTATATCCAGACAGGGGAGGTCGCTTGCGTCTCATTACAAAAGCCGACGGCAAACATTGTTTTCTTGAACAAAGAACAAAAGCGAACGAAACAAATAAAAAAATAGGTAAAATATATGAACGTTTCCTGCCTCCACGCGGAATCGAACCGCGGATCTTGTCATAACACCGCAAGTTCAATTACTATACGAGTGACACGCATTACCCCTGTGCCATAGAGGCAGATCATGGTAAAGTCGGCCGACAAGTTGTCTTCTTGTGAATGGAAGGTACCCTGGCTGTGGACGGTGCTGCTCTGTCCTTTTTTCGGCAAGATCAACTACCTGAAGGATTCTTGTCAGCTAATAGCAGGGTTGGTAATTAGTACTACTAAAATACTAAATTAGTACCAATTAGTACTTCGGTTTCCTTTAAATAGCTCCTTGGATATAATAGCAATAAAAACATAAAAAGTATCAGTGGATAGCTGAATTTTCAACGATTCCAATGATATATTTTTTCTATTTTTAGCACTTATATTGGCTTAGTAATCAGCAATTAGTACTTATTTTAGTATTTTTTCCGAAAAAAAGTACTAAAGAAATACTAATTGCTGATTACTAAGCCAATATAAGTGCTAAAAATAGAAGAAATATATCACTGGATTTGTTGAAAACTCAGCTATCCACTAATACTTTTTTCATTTTTTTACCATTTATATTCATAGAGTATTTGAAAAAACAAAGTGGTTTTAAAAAATACTAAAATACTAATTTAGTACTAAATTACCAACCCTGGAGCCTAATAGTCAGTATTCATTGCCTGACGGCATATTTTCAATATTATAAAATTGGTTGCTTGATATTGACATATATTTTCCAGTTACCTAACCCTTGGCGAAAATGCACCAATCGATCAAACATTGCAGAATATGTCAAACAGACTAGCATCGATATTTACAATAGAAGAAGGTTGAAGCGCAAGGGTTGCTCTTCCTCAGCCCTTTACCTCAGGATGACTTAATAGTAGGCGAATAACACCTCATCTACCCGCGCAAGCCGGTAACCATTCACTGATTTACCAAAGAAGCATACGCCTGCATTGTCTAGTACGTAGACGGGACAACAGCAAGTCTTCCCCCGTCAAACGCGAAGATCGAACCATTGCAGTAAGCGCCGGCCTTGCTTGCGAGATACACTGCGATAGTCCTAGTCAGTTATCATAGTATCTGGGCGTCATCTTACAAACTCCATAAAAGTCGGCAAAAAATCCATCCGTTTGGAGAATTACTCACAGATCGTGCCCGCAACCTCCTCCTGAGTGCCGAATCGCCGCGCGGGCATGAAATTCGGATCATCCAGACCTTCAGTCTCCGGGTCCCTAACGCTTATGAAAGGGTCTGCCATCTCGGAATCGAAGACTGTGTTTTCCTGTAAGTGAGCAGTGATTCAAATATCAAATGACACGAGGGAACTGAACGGAAAATGAAACAAGGTAAGAAAAGAAAAGTCGGGGACAAGCGTGTCTAAGTCAAAGGTACGGCGAAGCACTCACACCCAGGTGCCAACGTATTAACCCGAATCTGGTACGGCGCCAAGTTCGTCGCGGCGTGCTGCGCGAGCTGCGTAACGGCGGCCTTGCTCGCGATGTACGCGGGCGGCGAGCTGTGGTGCCGGACATACGAGGCGAGGCTGGCGGTGACGATGATCTGGCTCTGCACGCGCGGCACGGCGCTGCCCTGCTTTATCGGGCTGCCGAAACCGCCGCCCACCGCGCTCTTGTTGCCGGCGTCCAGCAGCTCCAGGAATGCCACCATCGTGAAATACGCCCCCGTGGTGTTCACGTGCAGTGCCTCTGTGAACGTGTCCATCTCGACCTCGTCGAATAGTCTGCTGCGAACCTCCCGGATGCTCAGGTTGCTGTCGAAGACGGTCGGCGGTCCGAAGATGGCCGAGTTGGCGACCAGTAGGTTCACGTGTCCGACGTCCCTCGTGATGGTGTCGACGGCGCTTTGGAGCGATTTTTTGGATGTCACGTCGCATACTAGAGGGACGATGTTCGGGTGCGAAGACGCGGCTGTTTCGAGAATGTTCGCTCGTCGTCCCAGTATGTAGACTTTCGCACCCGAGCTTGCGAGGGCTTTGGCCATCACGAATCCGATTCCTGTGCTGTCGTGTCATTATTCGGGCCCAGTGTTTGGTTTCTAGATGAAGACATACCGGTGCCACCACCGGTTATGACGGCAACTAAACCATCAACTCTGAACAAGGTCGACACATCCATTTTCCGCTTGTTTTAAGATATTAGGGGTTGAGTGAGTATATACAATAAAACGACGGTCTCGTGTGTCCTGTCCTAATATCATGGCCATCCTTCACCGTCCTTATAGACCTTCGTTAACCATGAATTCTGGGGCAGACCATCGGCGATATTCAAGCAAGTACCATAACACCGATGGAATCGCCGATGAAATATCTTACACTTTTCATGTATCTTCATGTATCCAACTGGCGAAGCAACATTTTTGACCATTTTCATTTGCCAGCGTCATGAGCATCGGGTACGGGTGCATCAAGAGCGGGACCGAGGGTTATATGACCCCTGATTAACTCCGTTCACGTCTCATTTCATAAAACGAGAACCTAAGAAATTACCTATAGCCAAGAATAACTGCCTCATATTGTGCCAGATATATATACCTACATGTCCAGTCCCACGCGTTCACGCATACACCCTGCATCTGCTCACTGTGGTTTCTAGGTACTGAGTCTTGCGGATTTGGGGGCTTATATCCGCCAACCTGAAGATACGCCGTGTTCGAAATAGAAGAGAGTAAAGATCACCAGATTACCAGATCATCGATACCTATTTGTAGGCATATTCTAACGAAATCACCTCAGAGCTGGCATCGTTGATTATGAAGCTGGTACAGCTTAGACCCTAAAGATCAAATGACTCTGCGGTAGGACTTGATCTGTCACCGCTTATGGCTGCATAAGAAATAAGAAATGCAAACGGTGGTTATACACAGAATTATGTTCAGAATGCAGATTGCTTTTAATGCTCGACGAGCCTGTCCCTACACGTCCGCTCGAAAGCTCGGTAAGAAGGGACAATTAGAGTTACACTCCCATCAATCCAACAAATGACAGAGAGAGGAGAGGAGAATAGAGGTGGAGTTGATATACACATCTCAAAAATAACCCGCGTCATTGACTCACCTCACCGTCCTAACGGTCCGCCCTTCCTCACCCCTCTCAACAGCCTCAAGACGGCCGCGCACAACATCCCAAACTTTATCGGCAAGTTCTTCCACACCGACATCGGCATCCACAATCTGGATATCCTCCTCCTCTTGTCTGAACTCGCCCTCGGGCTCTGCAGCTCCCCCCTCGCGCTCCCTAGCGGTGCTGCTATTCGTGCCATTCCCAAAAGGAGCCCTCTCGCTCCTAGACGGGCCCTTTCCATTGCTGGGTGTGGCCTTGCTGGCGCTCACGGCGGTGCCGAGATCCCCCATGCTCAGGCCCCAGAAGAGCTCGCGGACGCGTCGCTGCATCTCGCCCATCTCATAGACCTCTCCGCCCCAGCCGCCGCGCGATCTGGCTACGGATTCCTCGAGGTCGAGGAACAGGACCATGTCCGGGCGCGGGAGGCCGATCTCCGGTGCTTTTGCCCAGGAAAGGGAGAGAGAATTCAGCTGTTTCGCGGCGCTGTAGACTATGCCGCTGTGGTAGAAGCGGTCGCAGACGATGGTGTGGCCGGCCTCTAATTCGGTTCTGATCTTCTGTCTGTGTGGTTTGGGCGTGAGATAGGTGTAAATCAGAGATATCATAATTCAGAGGGCAATAGAGACACTTACGCTGCTTCCCAACGGTTCGCACTGAACAGGAGGTGAATGACGTGATCTTCAATTTCGGCCTCGCCCTTTAGATATGCGTCTATCATCTGGCCGATGGGTGTGCTTCTGTCTATGAAATATTCAGTTTTCTATTTTTTTTCCTAGATAACCCTTTCAGTTGTTCTAGCTTCGATGGGACCGCAGCTAAACTGGTAGAAAATTATAGCAACCACAAAACTTCCAGTCCATTTACGAAATAAATCAAGATTGCATAATGTGAGACTTACCGGGAAACCTCATAAACTTGACCTCTCTCCCACTCTCAATGCACCTCAGCTGTAATAATTTGGCCTGCGTCGTCTTGCCAGCACGATCCATCCCCTCGAAGACGATGAAAGCGCCTCGCACAGGCGGTTTCTTCTGGTCGCTGTCATACTCGACGCCGTCCATACTGTCATCCTTTTCGGGCGAGCGCTCACCGTTTCCCGGCGTCATTTCCAGGGACGCCTGCGGCGGAATCGTGGCCTGCGTTGGGTTCTGCGAGATCTGCGGCGCCGCTAGCACAGGCCCTGGAGTTGGCGTCGGCGTGCTGGGGGTGGCGGCGCTCACGCCCGCGTTCACGACGATGCTGCTTTCCGGCGCTGACGACACGGTGACCGTTGTGGCTGCGCCGGGAGTGCTTGGCGCAGGGTCTGGCTCTCGTACTTCTGGCGCTCGCACTTCTGGCACTGGTGATCTGCTGCTCGCGGCGGACACAATCCGTTGGGCATGAGCTTCCTGGGCCTGGGCCTGAAGCTGTGCCGAGGGAGAGGGCGAGGGTGGCGACAGCGGATCTTCCTGTGGTGGAGAGGAAGGCGAGTTTGGTCGTGTGGTCTGTTCCTTGGGCGAGGACTGCAGGGCGACCGCCGATGAGGCGATGGTCGCTGCGGTGGCGAGATCGTTGATAGACGCCATTCTCCCGCGCTTCTCCCTTCCGGCTTATGTTGTAAGCGCCTAAACTAGCTGGACCGAGCAAACAATCCTGTGCAAGCCGTCCCGTTGTATCCCCACGTGACAGGGTCAGCCAATGACAATATATACTTACTCGAGTTATATCGAGTTGAATGTAGCCCACTGTCAAGCGGTCAACCCCACGGGGCAAGCGTGCCACAGTGAATTGAGCTTCAATTGGGTCTAAGGTGGGTCAATGGGACTATGTAGTATATAGGAGATCCTAGGCTTGAGTTTACAAATGTACATTGAATGTCAGGTCTGGGGGATAGAGATTCATTAGCTTGACGGTGGTATCATGATCGGATCATGGCGACTTCTATCAGCGCGTTCTAGTGGAGCTCTCATAAGTAGTAAAGCTTCGTTATTCGGGTAGCTTATGTAAGGAAATATTGAGTGGGCTCCAAGCGCCATT